CCCCCCCCCCCCTCTCCCCCCCCCCCTGCCACCCCCCCCACTCCCCCCCACACTGACACTCTCCCCACTCCCCCCCACACTGACCCCCTCCCCACTGCCCCCCCACACTGACACTCTCCCCATTCCCCCACATCGCCACTTGCCCCCGTTCACAAATTGACTGCATTCTGGATGTAGCCACTCCATTCACTTCTGCCCCTTTACTTCTCTTGAAGTGTTGGTTTGCTATTTGTGTCTTCCACAATGAAGACTGATGCAAAGTGCCTTTTCAGTTCCTCTGCCATTTCTCTGTTCCCCATTACTACTTCTCCAGCCTCATTGTCCAGCAGTCCAATGTCCACTCGCCTCTCTCTTACATTGTATACATTGTAAAAAGCTTTAGCAATCTTCTTTTACATTACTAGCTAGTTTAACCACATATTTCACCTTCTACCCCCTTTTTGCTTTTTTAGTTGCCTTTTGCTGGCTTTTAAAGGCTTCCCTGACTCCTACTACTCTTCACCTGATTGTATGCTGTCCCTGACTTCCGTTGTTGGCTATGGTTGCCTCGTCCTCTCCTTGGTATGTTACTTCTTTCTTGGGATGAATTTCTGCTGTTCCTCCTGAATTCCCCCACAAACACCTGCTATTGCTTCTCCACCGTCTTCCCTGTTAGACTCCCCTTCCAGTCAACTCTGGCCAGCTCCTGTCTTGCATTTTTGTAGTTACTTCTACTCAGTTATAGTACCGTTCCATCTGATTCCAGCTCCTCCCTCTCAAACTGCAGCGTGATTTCTATCATATCAGGGTCATTGCCCTGAGGGGTTCCTACACTTGAAGCTCCCTGATCATGTCTGCTTCATTACACATCAGAATCTCGAATCACCTGTTCCCTCGTGGGTTCTACCACAAGCTGCTCCAAAAAGCTATCTTGTAGACATTCCATGGATTCCTTTTCTTGGGATCTGCTACCGACCTGATATTCCCAGTCCACCCGCATATTGAAGTCCCCCATGATTATTTTAATAGTGTCTTCCTTACCCGCCTTTTCTATCTCCTGATTTATTTTCTGTCCCACATCCTGACTACTGCTAGGAGGCCTGTACATAACTCCCAACAGGGTTTTTTTTCTCCCTTGCAGTTCCTCAACTCTACCCACTGCCTTCTGACCCTATATCACTTCGGGCTATTGATTCAATTCCATTTCTTGCTAACAAAGCAACCTTGTACCCCCTGCTTTCTACCCATCCTTTCGATAGGATGCATATCCTTATATATTTAGTTTCTAGCCCTGAGCCCCATGTCTCTGAGATACCCCCAACATTGTACCTGCCTGTTTCAATCTACACTACAAACTCGTTTACCTTGTTTCGTATACTGAGTGCATTTAAGTACAACAGCCTCAGTCCTGCAGTTGCTGACCCTCTTCTCATTGTTGTCCTCTTATTTGCTGCACCCGAAGTTAGATTCCTAACCCTTACCCTATTCTGTGTCCTAGCACCGTCTGACCAGAATATTGAACTACCTGTAAGCTTTCTCCATGAACAGCAGCTTGCTTGACCGGGACATGTAGAAAGGGAGCCAGAGACTGCCCTCTGCTGATTTAACAAGATCGACGGAACTACATGTACATGTGCTCGATATATGTGAGGCAGTCTGTATATCCCCACAGTGGGATACGCTACATACTCCTGGAGGCACTATTTACCACCCATTGTCTATATCGCCACTGTTAAAAGCATTATACACCCTCCAATGAAATTTGCTGCATATCCTCACTGTGGGTGAAAGTTTATACCGTCCACTGTGGTATATGCTGCATATCTTCCACTGTGAAAGATTCTGTCTATCCCCCACTCTGAGGCATACTGTATATACACAGCACTGTGGGATATGCTGTAGACCCACTGGGAGAGATACTGTATAACCTGTACTGTGGAAGATACTGTATATTTCCCACTGTGGGTGATATGGTATACTCTGCATGGCAGGGTATGCTGTATATCCTCCAATCTGAGGATGTTAGAAAGATAACAGTTGGGAACTGCAATAGTCATTCAGCTGGCTCAGTGCTGATCTTTAACCCCCAACACCACTTTCCCACACAAACCTAAGATCCATTGGATCATTCCCTGCTTGAAAATCCACCGAGCCCCGTCTTGAAGACCCTTGATGACTGAGGTAGAGGA